GCCATTTTTTCCCAAAAAAGCTCCGTTTCAAAAAAAAGCGGTGGCCATGTTTATGCTAATGAAGTGTGGGATATTTAAATCCCCGCTTCATTAGCAATAGCGATGTGCCTAATCTACATCTTTCTATTTGAACCCTGAGACACTGATCCTGGACTCGACTTCAATGGGTGTTGGCCGATTATCGCAGCATGGCAGTTGGCAGTGACGCAAATGGTCATGCATGGGACGGGGGGAGTGCCCTGTTAGAAGATCGTAGGCTGAACAACCCCTTGCTACCCTTGAGGTCATAGCAGTTAGGTGGAGAACAATGTCGATATTGACTTGAGATGCAGGCAAAAGAAGAAGTCTTGCCTGCTTGTAGTGCAGGATGTTTGGGGTACAGATTGTTTCTTAATGTGTGTTTGTACAGCACCTATACAATGGAGGAAGAGCTGAGTAAATGACAAATCTCAATAAGTTCAGGTTGAAACTCTCTAGTCCGGCACCCTCGGGCTAGACCAGAGAATTTGCCGGACTACGGGAGGTCAGTATTGTCTAGCTGAATGACCAACATGTCCACTGCTTAATGGGTTCTGAGAAGACAGTTAGAGGTTAATTAGAGCTAAATAGCATCATAGAACACTGAGAGCCAGGACTTGGGGGCTGTAAACAAACTTTATGGGACTACGGGAAACATGGCCACACCCATGTTCATTGGACATCTGGCTAACTCAAATCATACCACACCACGGAGGTTGCTGGACCAGAGAGAGCTGGATGCACGAGGTTCAACATGCATTCCAGCTTTTGATTTCATCCACAATTGGGAGAGAAAGTCAAAATCTCCACATTTTAATGGAAAGTTCGGAAAAATGTCAATTCCAAAATCTTAACACATTTGGGAAATGTAGACTGCTAAGGAGACCGGCTCCTAAGGGAGAATGGGAGCAGGAAGCACGTGTATTTCATCCCCAGGCAGATGCATTTTAATGTCAGACTGACTTGAAACAAAATATTCCGGGTCAGTGGAACAAACTGAAGTGTTATGCTTTGGTTTCAGGTCTTCTGATGGGAAAATCAAACAGTTTGGGCAAAATTGAAATCTTCACCTAGAAAATGCAGTTTTCAGAAACATCAAAAGTCCCTAATGAAAAAAAATCACCTGTTAGAAAAGTCTCATGTGGGTGCACCCTGCCAAAGAAATCAATATTGTCTAGCAACATGATCAACACTTCCACTGATTGCTGGGCTCTTAGAAGACATGGAGGGGTAAATTAGAGCTAAATAACAGCACAGAACACTGAGATCCAAGACTGGGGACTGTCAACAAAGTTTATGGGACTACAGGAAACTTGGCCACGCCCATGCTAAGTGGACATCTGGCTAACTCAAATCATGCCGGACCACGGAGGCTGCTTGACACCAGTGTGCCAGATTAGAGGTCAACCTGTAATTCGTTGTCACTGGGGAATCCTCATTGAGCAGCGGTGCTTATAGTGGGGTGCTGCGGGGCTTGGTAATAGGCCCAATTCTAGTCAATATTGCCATTAGTGGTCTGGAAGTAAATATATAAAATTACGGCTGAGGAAATTTGCCGATGACACACAGACTGGAGGAGCGGTAATTAAGGAGGACTGCAGGGCAGTTCTACAGCTCAAACGGGATCACCTGGTCAGCTGGGTTGAGTCCGATAAAATGCATTTTAATACAGCAAAATGCAAAGTTATACACTTAGAAACAAGGAATGCAGACCACACTTGTCAAAGGTGATGCTTACTGGGTTAACCAATTACCCGTTCACATCTCTAGCCAGGGCAGGGGTAAGTAGATGAAATGTAAGGTCTTGTGCCGATCTCAGACCAGACGATCTATAGCCTGGTGGTCTATTTATCTGTGAATCTCCGATGAGGGTGGGCAGCCATGCGCTCTTATGACACATCCTTCAGGAGTCCCCCAACGAGAAGCAATCAGTGCACTACAGCCGTCAGGCACCTCTGTCTCAAGCTCTGACGCCTTTGCTGAGGAAGGCCAGTTTTAAGCCACAGTAGCTTAACTCACCAACATAAATTCTGGCTACTACAGGCAGAGGCCTGGGTTTCCAGATCAGTCAGCATGGCCCACCAGGCGGCCGAGAGAAGCGTTATGCTGAGTTGCAGGAGATTCCGCAAGAGCAGCCAAGATAGGTTTGTGCGTCCGCACCACGATCTGAAGGGACAGGCAGATCTCTCTGTTGTGTGTGTTGTGTGGGATTTACACAAGCAGAGCCCTAAATGCTTTCCTCTGCATTATCTTTTAAAGAGACTGGATTTGAAAGGGAACCAGGGGGCGGAAGATGTGTTCTCGTACCTTGAAAACATTACTCCTGTGCATGATAGTCAGGTGTTAATCACCCCGTGTGTTTCCTCTTTGCTAGTGGAAACAAGAAAAGAGAGAAAAAACTTGTTTACTAGCAAACTTGTTCCTTTTCTTAGGAATCAGAGCCGAACAATGGCTCTTCCTCGTGCTGATTCTGTGAGATCCTCCATGAACGTGACTGCGTGGATTTAAAAAAAAAAGCGTAAAAAATATGGTTCATGGGCATCTAATCCTCAGCAGAAAATGGGAGGGGGTCACAGATCTGCCAGGTGACATGAACCAGAAGCAGTACATAAGCCAAGCAGCATGGTTTTGCTTTGTGGTGGGTAGATCGGGTCACAATTTATGCTGGAGATGTCAATTAGGAATATCATGAAAACGAGTTGCATAATGAGGCTGGAAAGCCATTTTTACAGACCACACTTTTGCTGCCAACATGCAATTTGTTCTCCTCATGTAAACACTCGGGAAGTCGAAGCATCTGCTCCTAATTAGCTGTCTTGCACTCCTTACTGATCCAACAAAACTCCCACTTCCCCTGTTTCCTCTGACGATGAATGGTTAGCTTGTTTGCAGTGCTCATTGGAATTACATAAGTTAGGGCCACGTACAGCTGTGCCATGTGCCGTATTTCAAACACGTATGCTTTTGGAGTGATGAAAAGCACTGAGATAAGACGCCTGCAAAAAAGTGAAGTGAGTTCATTAGGGTTTCCAGAGGCTCGTCTGTAGCCACGTTCATTTTGGGGTAACAGGGCCAGGCCTTGATTAATTAACTTATCAAGTACATTTGAATGCTTTGTCCTCCTAATGAGGGGTTTCATTCTGGAAATCATGTGGATGTTGGATCTCCATGTCCGCATTGTCCTGTTTCCGACACAGGAAATAGAGCAGAATCCTGCTCCATCTTTTAGACTGTGTCTTCGCCCTCAACTCTGTCCTGCCATTTAATGACTAAGCTTTAGCTTCAAAGTAAACCAGTTATTGCGTCTGGCTCGGGCATAAAATCTCCATCGCATGGAAGGAGCATCGTGAATGACCAACCGAGACATCCAAGGAACTGTGTTTGGTGGAAATCATGTAAGAGACCCTCGTTGGAGGTTTGTCTTTTTAAAAATAATCGTTAATAATGTGCAGTCATTAATGAACTCTGGGGTACAAACGAACCAGTGGACAGCTGCCTAATCTGGAAACAGACATTGTTCGCTGATTTTGAACTCTGTTTAGTTACTTTGTGGTACATGCATAGGTGGCCGCTGTTCCATTGCGTGCACTGGCTCTTTGTGTTTAAATTCATCCTTCCAAGGAAGTGCTGACGGGGCAGAAAAGGCTTTGTTTGCCATTTTTATGGTCTGGAATGAGGTGGAACATCATCATAGTTCCCCACAAACAATGTGTGCAGGGACCCAGGCAGTCTCACTCCGTTTTTAAAAAAATGAACTACCGTATTTTCCGGCGTATAGGGCGACTGGGCGTATAAGACGACCCCCTAATTTTTTAATTAAAAGATAGGGTTTCATCTTATACCCCAGCGCCCCTCCGCCTCCTTTGCTCCCGGTGTCCCTGGTCTGCTGGAGACGGTCCCCAGCAGACCAGAGGCACCAGGAGCAAAGCCGCAGCAGCTTTGAAAGCCTCGGGGGAAGCCGGCGGGGGGGGGGGGGCGGGGCGGGACGGGGGGGGGCGGGATGTATACCCAGCGTACAAGACGACCTCCGATTTTTGGGGGACGTTTTTTAACATCAAAAGTTGTCTTGTACGCCGGAATATACGGTAAATGTTCTCAGAGAAACCCGCACGCATTAAGAAATCTCCGTTCATTTCAGTTCAGTGAGCGACACCCTACCTGTAGAGAGATGTTAAAGTGCTTATAAAACTCATAATGCAATAGAAGTTCATTAAAAACTACCTGAGGTGCCCCACACCAAAAAAGAGCACCATTACAGATACGGCTTCACTCCCCCTCCTGTTTGGGACCGTGTAAACCCATTATGGGAGGTGCACAAAGCAATTCTGATTTCCATTCTGCATGTGTAGCCCTCTCCAGTAATTCAGGTGCGTTGTCTGGCTCAGCAATCCAGCAATGGCTTGAGCTCACTCCTGGAGAAAAGGCTCCCTTGTTTTGACTCTGCAGACCTTGGCTGGAGCGCAGCAGCAAAGCCCTTGGCATCCACAGGGCTGGAGGTAGCACCAACGTGCTTTCAACCTGTCTCCTGCACAGTCGATCACCATCCTTCAGCGGCCGGGGGTGTCGCTGAGCCTTCTTGGGCCAGATCCTCTGAAATCAGGGGACAGTTTCACAAACCATGAAGCAGGATCCCCTACAGCATCAGTGGGGACCATGACTCCTAATGTCCCAGCTGGTCCAGGAAGGTAAAATCCCAAGCTCTGAACATGCTGGCATCATGCATCCTGCCTCGGCATCCCATAGTGTCCATGAATCTGCCTCCGCAGTGGACCAGGGCCTGTGGAATGATAGCATCGTGTCCTTTGTGGTTTACATATCTGTGTGCTTGTGGGGAGCTGTAGCGGGACGGTCACCCTGCTCCAGGATAAAAAGGGTTAACAACAGTCCTGGGAGAGGATTGTTCTGGGAGCCAATTAGAGTGCAGCTAGCGACAGCCAATCAGGGCCCAGCTAGGCCCTTATAAGAAGGGATCCTGGAGCAGAGGAACACACACTCGCTCCAGCTCTGGAGGGAAAGGGATCTGGCTGCCTCCTAGTGAGGTACCACGGACAGAGCAGTACTGGAGCGAGGCACGGTGAGTCAAGGGAGCTCTGGCCTGAGGAACCCCAGGCTGAGGCCCAGTGACAGGGGCTCACAGAGGTACTAGGACTGCAGGGAGGCAGCCAGGATAGATCCACACCCCCTTGCCTATGGTGAGCAGCATTTCAGACTGAGGCAAGGGCTAGATAATGACTGGCAGTGGATCAGTGAGTCACGGTGTCATGGGGCTTCCCTGAAGGCAAGGACCCTGGAGTGTGGGGGCCCTGCGGCAGGGCAGTATCCTGAGGGAAGGGCTCTGCGGTCTGGGAGGGACGCAGGTCCTGATACCTGTTGTCCGTTCTCCACCGCCTTGTAACAGCGGGCGAGATACCAGCTGGAAAAGGGCGCTCCGGCGCTGGGCTGAGCTAATTCCCAGAGTGACCAGCAGGAGGCCAAACTAATAAGCCATGAATTGTTTCAGGAGCAAACAATAGGCTGGCGGATTCGGTCGGCAGCCCGGGTTCAATTTGGGAAGCCGGCTCTCTCCAGAACACTTGTAACGCCCGCCAGTTGTAGGTACAGCCCAGTCCTGATCACCCCTCCCACAACAGCCCACGCGGTTGACTTGCCAACTCCAAACTAGTTAGCCACACACCTGTAGCAGTCTGGGGGTAGCCAGATGACTAGCAGCCCACATCTGGATGGGTATGGCCACCCTCAGGCGTGTGCTGGTGAGGGATCGGGGCAGGCGGAGCACAAATCTCTGGGCCTTTCTGCTTCTTTCTGAAAAAGTTCAGAAGCCATGCTGATCATCCCAGGTCCCGCGGGCAATGTGATCCCGCCAGTCTATGCATGTGGCCCTGCTCCAGAATAGCCAGTCTACATATGTGTAGCTATGGCAACAGGCCTGTGCCACACAGGAGGGGTCACAGGTGGCTCCAGTGGAGCCTTCAGCCGGTAAATACCAACACCAAAATGGCCACCAGCGTCTCACAGACGCTCTGCCTGATTCCTGAAATAGGACTGGTAACGCAAGCAGGAGACGTTCTTCCCCTGGGTCAGGATCCACCTTTGCGCCTGCAGACTCAAAAATGGATGCATGAGGTGGCTAAAACCCACTTCCCGTCAACTCCTGTGGGATGGGCAGACAAGTTCTCCCACAGCCCACTGTGATCCAAGCCCTAGAGAGGTTCCAGCTGACGAGGGCACGAGGAACCCTGGGCTACAAGCAGACGGTCCCACGGGGGGGTCTGTGTCAAGCTGTGTGGCCGCGTAACGCAGTTGGGACAGCTGGGATGGTAACGCAAGGTGGACTTGCCAAGCACAGGTCTGGAAAAACTACATGAACAAACTCAGACCTCCACAGACCAAGCTTCACAGGTAGTGTGGTGCATGGACATCACCTAAGGCACCTGGTAAGCCCATGAGACATTTCCTGAATTTCCCTGACAGCCCAGACACAAATCAGACCGGGGCTCTGGAAACCCAGAAGCGAGAAATATCTTCCATAAAACCACATATGGTTGCAAAGTTAATATTCACCTTTTCCCAGCGTGGCATTCAGGTTGTCCTGCATGGTCAGCCGGTCCAAACCTCCTCTCAGAGAAGGCTGATTAAACTGTGCACCAAGAGGGACTGGACTCTGTGAAAGAAACAAAAACTGGGTGGAAGCCAGCTGCTGTTCCGTAGCCTAAACCTGAGCTCTGTTCGTGGCTGTCACTCAAGGCGTACTCACTGTGGTAAGGAAAACCCGTCAGGATTTGGCTCATTCTCTATTTTGGATGGCGATACGAAGGGAGACGGGATTTGATCCCTTTTCAAAGCCTTGCGGTGCACAGCATTGCGGCTAAATAAAACCTGAGCCTGAATTTCAGACAGCAAAAGCAAACACTGTTGAGAGACGCAGCAGGAAAGAGCTGTCCTGCACCTTACGATGTGGAGTACAGAAATACATTCCCCAAAGATGCCCCACACAGTAGCCAACCATCTGTCTAAACACTTGCAGAAAATGCCCGGGCCTGTGAACCTCAGAGAGTGCCATCGGCTTTGGAAGCGTCATGAGCGGATAGATTCCCAGATGTTCTTTCCGAATAGGGTCGGGTTCTGCAAAGCAGATGGATCCTGGAAACAGCCGAACGACCCCCCCCAGGAAAGACAACAAACTTTTTTCCCCTCCCATTGCCTCGCTCCACAGTAGGGACGGATGCTTCAAGCCCCATTAGCATTTTTCCCAAACAGGAATGAAAGCGTTTCCTTCAGAAATTGTCCGTCCATGAAACCTATCCCTCTGTAGCCCTTCACTCCAGCTTATGTCCCTAGCCGTACTCCACAGCACAAGTACTTGTAACGCACAATGGACCAGGAGAACATATTCTCATGAGGCTTGGGAAATGAAGACCGCTGCGGAGGACTTTGAGTAGCCTGGCCTTTGCTTTCCCCAGGAGAACATATTCTCATGCGGCTTGGGGAATGAAGACCTCTGCGGAGGACTTTGAGTAGCCTGGCCTTTGCTTTCTGCAGCACACGTAAAATCCATCGCTGCTCTTTCTGCGGCACGCCAAAGCGTTGCCAAAATCCTTTTAATGAATGACAAAAGCAATACAAAGCAGAAAATGATTCATGCCCCACTATAAATGCAATGACATTCGCAACTAAGGGTCAGCTGTCATTTCTGCGGGGAGCATGCGTTGCCACGGGGCTTAGATTGTGAAGAACGGCACAGAACATCAAGTTGACAGCCTAAGTGATTTTTAAATCATCGGATTAACTCTGGTAAGCTGTTTTGGATACTAATGGGAATTTTAGTGGCTCTGAAAGGCAATCCGCTGAGCACCCTGAAGGATGACGCCCTTTCTTAAGTGTGTAGGTGTAACACCAAAACCGTCTCATCCAGCGCATGGCTTCTCCCTTCAAAGGCCAGCAGCCGTGCTAGCTACAGTGGGGATGGTCCCTCGGGAAGCTTCCCTTCGGAGGAACCCGACCGAGGCAATGAACTCATTTCTCCGAGGCCAGTTGTCAGCGGATCACGGGTTTGGGCTTTCCGTGAGTTTGCTGAAAATGTTCTCTCAAAATATTTTTCTGGCAGAAAACGGCTTTTTCCATCAAAAGGACATTTTTAGTGAAAAATGTTCATTTACACTGACCACATTTAGCTATCTGACAGAAATCCAAAACCATGCAAAGAAAACAGTGTCCTGATGCCAGGGAAGAGGCCTTTCCCACCCATCTCTGGTTCTCACCACAAGGAGCTGGATTTGACCTGAACGTGAAGGCAGGGGGGTCTATCTCAGTTTCCAGAGTCATCCAAGCTACTGCGCAGATGATGTTTTCACACAGGTAACTATCACCGGATGGCTTGTAGGTGGTTATCCATCCATAGCCAATAGCTGTAGAGTCATAGAATCACAGAACTCTAGAACTGGAAGAGACCGCGAGAGATCATCAAGTCCAGTCCCCTGCCCTCACACCAAGACCAAGCACCATCTAGATCATCCCTGATAGGTGCCTGTCCAACCTGCTGTTAAATATCTCCAGTGACGGAGATTCCACACCCTCGTTAGGCAATTTATTCCAGTGTTTAATCAACCTGACAGGAAGTTTTTCCTAATGTCCAACCTAAACCTTCCTTGCTGCAATTCAAGCCCGTTGCTTCTTGTCCTGTCCTCAGAGGTTAAGAAAAATAATTTTTCTCCCCCCTGTTTGTAACCCCCTTTTAGATACCTGAAAATCCCTATCATGTCCCCTCTCAGTCTTCTCTTTTCCAAACTAAACAAGCCAAATTCCTTCAGCCTTGCCTCATAGCTCATGTTTTCTAGACCTTTCATCATTTTTGTTGCTCTTCTCTGGACCTTCTCCAATTTCTCCACATCTTTCTTGAAATGTAGTGCCCAAAACTGGACACAATTCTCCAACTGAGGCCTAACCAGTGCAGAGTAGAGCGGAAGAATGACTTCTCGTGTCTTGCTCACAACACTCCTGTTAATGCAGCCCAGAATCATGTTGGCTTTTTTTGCAACAGTGTCACACTGTTGACTCATATTTAGCTTGTGGTCCACTCTGACCCCTAGATCTATTCCTTCCTAGACAGTCATGTCCCATTCAGTATGTATGAAATGGATTGTTCCTTCCTAAGTGGAGCACTTTGCATTTGTCCTTATGAAACTTCATCCTTTTTACCTCAGACCATTTCTCCAATTTGTTTAGATCATTTTGAATTATGATCTTCTCCGCCCCAGCACTTGCAACCCCTCCCAGCTTGGTATCATCTGCAAACCATCTGTAATGATGGTCCACACCTTTGTAACAGCGAGGGGTCACATGTCCCCTCCTCTCTTCCCACTCCGTGGAGGATACATATTGGTGACTGATGTGGTGAGTCATTCTTAGTTCTCATTGTAGCGATTCTTGCGTTACACTCTGGAGATCCTCCATTGGGTGTCCCCTGTTGACACGGCTGCAGTCCCATTGGAATGAAACCCAATGGCCTGAGGTAGCTACAGCTGGCTGGCAGTGCAGCCGCTAGTCAGTTCTTCAGGGTCTGATCCAATGTTTCCAACGGGAGTCTTATCAAGGTCACTGCTCCGATCTTCAAGGCCATGGGTCATATCATCATCAGTTGTCCAAGGACGGCTCTTCCTTCCAGCAAGACAGCTGGCTGAAAAACATCCACCAAAAACTTCTTCTGCTCTGAAAATGGGGTTTGGTTTAAACTGCAATTTGGCAAATGAAAAGATCACTTTCGATCTTTTCATTTTCATTTTAATCCCATCATGCTCCATCTTTCTGTATGCGGATAAATTCCCAGACAGACTACATCTCCCATGATGCACCGCAGTCACTCCTTCTTCTCCCATGATGCACTGCGGTCACTCCTTTTGCTGGAGCTGCCGTGGGATGGAAATCACTTTTTTTTTCAATGATCGCTATGTGACAATCTCACTCCGCTGGCCAAATGAGGCTGTTGCCAAACAAGGGAAGACGTCTGTCTGCAAGAGAGTCCAGAACAGATTTTTTTTTCACTTCTTTGGAAGTAATTTTAGTGGGTGGAGTGAAGTC